CACACACACACACACACACACACACACACACACACACACACACCATCACTGCCATCCACACACCATATTTATAAACACACACACACACACACACACACACACACAGAGGCATGCACAGCTTTTTCAAAATTGTTTGCTTTAAATCCTGTTCTTTCAGATTGTTGTACTGGGCTGAATTATTATATTGCACAAGGTTTTCTTAGCCACTATTTCTATTATTTGGAAACAATACTCTTTAAAAATTAATGTGGTTGTAAGAAATTGTTCATTTAGTTTTGGTTGACTAAAGCTTAAAGAAATACTAGAAATTCTTTGTTCCTAACCTATGTGATTTATACAACCTTCTTTGGTAACTTTAAAGGAAAAAAAAGCTAATTATCTTTGAAAAGTAGATGTAAATTCAATTTAGAGACAAATGCATATGTAAAGCCAATTTGTTCCTTGGTTAAGTAAAGAATCTGAAGGGAAGGTCCAAGCATGGTGCTGTACACCAATCTTAATCCTAGACAGAGAAAGGCTGAGACAGGAGGACTTTGAATTCCAAGTTAGTCTGAATTACTTAGCAAGTCCCAGGCCAGCCTGGGCTACATTGCAGGAGCCCATCACAGAACCAAAACAGAGAAGGTGTAGCTCTTGTACAGTTTGCTTTTCTTTTTGGACACTGGATGTTGAGTTAGTCTCCAGAAGGCAAACGGACTAAAGTTCAGCTGAAGGGACACTGGAAAACTAGACACTCCGTAACTATAGCAGCATGGGTTCTCTTTGTATGGTAAAGTCGTTTCTGTTGTTTATTCTCACAGGTCTACAAGCAGGAGCAAGAGGAAGAGCTAAAGAAAAAGTTGGCCAATGACCCTCGGTGGAAGCGCTACCGGAGATGGATGAAGAACGAAGGGCCTGGACGGCTAACGTTTGTGGATGACTGAAGATGGATGGGAGGCTGCCCTGCCAAACCGGAAGTGTCATAGTGTTTTCACAGCAGTTACGGGGAGCTGTGTCTGCTGCTCTCCGCAGTAGCCCAAGTTCATGAGAGTCCGATTAAACAAACTAATGTAGAAATTCAACTTTCCCATCAAACTTTATACAAGAGACATTTATGATGTTCAATTTTTATAATCTATTTGTGGATTTTGTTAAAAAAGATTTGACATGGGGATTTATTAGTTACCATTTAAAATTTTTATATGTTTAGTTAAATTTGACATGAAATTTATTAGATACCATTTAAAACTTCTGTGTGAAGTGTTCCTTCTTCAAGAGTGTTTCCTTATGTTTTCATAATGCTACATTTTTCTGCTTTCCTGGTCTCTATTTTTACAAAACAACAACAACAACAACAATTACAACAGCACTTGATCATATTATTGTGTCTTTCTGGACATACATTTCTTCAGGAGAATCATTCAGTGTCATGTTGTCCTTACTGTAGTCCTTACAGGTTTGAGTATGTTCAAAGTAATCTCTAGGAGAGTCTTGTAGAATCCCTACAGTTCCCTCCCAGTAATTCTACTCTTGATAAGATCAGAAACTCTCCAGGAGAGTGAGTCACCGCCATGTCCTTGTGGGATGTGCTTGGTTACAGTCTCATTATAGGACTGTTTTCTCAAACATTGCTGCTGACAGAGGGGACCTTGTGAAAAGGTCTTTCGTACCACCATCTTGCTGCTTGCTCGCTTGCTTCTCCTCTTTCCTTCCTTGTCCCCTCCTCCCCTCCCTCCTTCCTTTCCTTCCTCCATCCCTCCCTCCCTTCCTTAATTTTGAATTACTTATGTGGTGAAAATGTAATGCCATGAGATCATTTACATGCATTTAAACTAAAAAGAAGAAAGCATGGCTGTGTGCCATTCTCTCAACCACTAGGGTATACATCTTTTTTATACATATGGAAGTAGAAGTAAGTGACAGAATTGACCGATTCAAATCTGATGCTATATCAAAGTACCACACATATTCATATGCAGTACTCCTGTTAAAGATTTATCCTACTGCTGCATATTAATAAAATGGTTGTGCCATATCATGCTGCCTGGCAGGCTATTTAAAGATTAGTTTATTGCGCCGGGCGGTGGTGGCGCACGCCTTTAATCCCAGCACTCAGGAGGCAGAGGCAGGCGGATCTCTGTGAGTTCGAGGCCAGCCTGGGCTACCAAGTGAGTCCCAGGAAAGGCGCAAAGCTACACAGAGAAACCCTGTCTCGAAAAACCCAAAAAAAAAAAAAAAAAGATTAGCTTATTGCCTTTGTAACATAATTTTAGAAGGTTAGTATTGCATAGTAGATATGCAGGGTTTATTTCTAAGTAAAGTAAATTAGTCCTTTTAAAAGCTCAGCCCAGGCACTGGGTAGCTCGGTTGGTAAAGTATACACAGTGGGCAGTGACTTTGGTCCCCCCTACCCTCCGATCTTATGTAGAAAAAAATGCCAGGCATGGTGGCATACTCAAACCAGAGAACCTGTCTCTAAAAACAAGGTGGACAGCACCAGAAAAATGAAAGCCAGGCTTGTCCTCTGGCATTCCATATACACCCCCACACTTGTGCATCTGCACACACATAAACATACACACACACACACACACACACACACACACACACACACACACACACAACAGCCCAAGTAAATGATATACACAATTCCATCCTTGCCAATAAGCCAAGACTTGAGGTCAGTTATTTTAATGTGGATGGATTTCAGTTGCTAATTACAAAAATAGAATTTGAGCTGGACAGTGGTGGCGCACGCCTTTTAATCCCAGCACTCGGGAGGCAGAGGCAGGCGGATCTCTGGGTTCAAGGCCAGCCTTGTCTACAGAGCAAGTTCCAGGACAGGCTCTAAAACTACACAGAGAAACTCTGTCTCTTTAAAAAAAAAAAAAAAAAAAAAAAAGAATTTGATCAGGCTATCAGTAGGGCTCTTTGCAGCTCTGGAATTCTGAAATGACACAATTATTTAGAGTTCTATAAACTTCAGTTGGAAATGTTTTATGTGTCCATTCTTCTTTAGGGTTGTGGAGAATCATGTAATTAGCACACATTGCTGGTTATTATCTGTGAACAACGAAGTTGTGTTGTATAAGGTCCAGAAAGAAATAGCAGTACTAGTGTACCTCACCATTTTCCAAGACTTCTCTGATTGCCTGTATTTTTCTAGTTTCATTTCTGTTACTGTGATGAGCACCCTGACAAAAAGCAACAATTCCATTTTGGGGAAAGGCTGAAACTCAAACAGCTCATTCTATCACACCAGTCAAGAGCAAGGAGAGAACGTGTGTATCTTTGCTTCTCATATTGTCCAGCATTTCCTTGCTAGGGAATGGTGCTGCCTGTAGTTGCCTGGGTCTTCCTACCCCAGACATGTCCACAGGCCAACCTCATTGAGACTCTGTTTCCAGCTAATTTTAGGTTGTATCAAGTTGACAATGAAAACTAACCAGCATACCTATTTATAAGGAAAATGGGAAGGTGCTCAGCCAATGAAAATATGTATCTTTGGATATTCTTTTGTCTGTTTTTTATTTCTGTATTTGTAGAAGTGTTCACTGAAGGCTGTTTACCTGGGAGTTCGGGCATGGTTATCGCATGAATCAAGGTGGACTCTTAGAGAAAGATGGTTTTCCCCTTCCCTCAATTCACTGTACTTTGACGTCTCAGGCTAAAGGAAAGGCCACTGCTTGCTCCGGTCACTGTACTTCACTGTACTCTGCCATCTTCCACCAAACCCAATCTCTCCGTTTTAGAACCATCTAGACTAGAGGCCCTTACAGCTTCATTAGTGTAGGGAGTATGGGTTGATTGTTAGAGCATAGCTCTGCATTGCTACCATTCGTCAGTTCATGTAATTGAAGTCTGCAACATTGCCCTTTTGGGTTTTATTTATATAAATATCTTCATAACAGATCTACTATTAGCCCTTTCTTCATTGGTATATTTCTTATGAATTCTCCAAGTTCAACATAGTAAAAATGGCCATCCTATCAGCGACAAATTAAAAGCTATCCCCATCAGTCCTCATCAAAATTCCATCACAGTTCTTGACAGACCTTGAAAGGACAATACTCAACTTCATATGGAAAAACAAACCCAGGCTAGCTAAAACAATCCTGAACAATAAAAGAACTTCCAGAGGTATCACCGTCCCTGATTTCCATCTGTATTACAGAGCTATAGTAATAAAAACAATAGTGCTGGGCAGTGGCGGCGCACGCCTTTAATCTCATCTCTCAGGTGGGTCATCTCTGGGAGCTCGAGGCCAGTCTGATAGACAAAGTGAGTTCCAGGACAGCCAGAGCTGTAACAGAGATACCCTGTCTTGAAAAAACAAACAAAAATAGTATCAGCATAAAAGCACAAGTCGATCAGTGAAATGAATTGAATACCCAGATATAAATCCACACACCTAAGGACACCCAATTGATAAGTCAAAAAGGCACAATGGGAAAAAAAGCATCTTTAACAAATGGTGTCTGGTCTATATATCTGCATGTAGAAGATGCAAATAGATCCCTATCTATGACCTTGCACAAAACTCAAGTCCAACTGAACCAAAGACCTCAACATAAATCCAGATACATTGAACCTGATAGAAGAGAAAGTGGGGAACAGCCTTGAACACATTGGCACAGGAGACAACTCCCTGAACTGAATACTGATAGTATAGGCACTACTAAGATCAATAAATATGACCACTCAATAGGACAAGATGGCAGCCTGTGAATGGGAAAAGATTTTCACCCAACTGCACATCCAATAGAGGGCTAGTATCCAAGATATATAAAGAACTCAAGAAACTGGACATAAACCAATCCAGTTAAAAAATGGGGGACAGCTAGGTGGCATGGTGCATGCCTTTAATCCCAGCACTTGGGAGGTAGAGGCAGGCGATCTCTGTGAGTTCAAGGCCAGCCTGGTCTACCAAGTGAGTTCCAGGCCAGCTAGGGCTGTCACATAGAAACCCTGTCTTAAGGGGACTGGAGGGCGGGGGGACGCTAACATCTAAACAGAATTCTCAATAGAAGAAATCTCAGATGGCTGAGAAACACTGTAAGAAATGTTCAACATCCATAGCCATCAAGGAAATGCAAATCAAAACTACTTTGCGGTTCTATCTTACACCTGTCAGAATGGCTAAGCTCGAAACCACAAGTGACTGCTCATGCTGGTGAGGTTCCCCCAGAAAACGGACTCAATCTACCTCAAGACCCAGCTATAACATTCTTGGGTACATACCCAAAGGATGCTCCATCCTACCACAAGAACACTTGCTCAATATGTTCATGGCAGTTTTGTACATAATAGCAAGAAAGTGGAAACAACCTAGATGTCCCTCAACCAACAAACAGATAAAGAAAATAAGGTACATTTACACAATGAAGAATTACTCAGCTGTTAAAACATCATGAAATTTATAGACAAATGGATGGGATCAGAAAAAATCTGAGTGAGGTAACCCAACCCAGAAAGACAAACATGGTATGTACTCATTCATAAGTGGATATTAGCTGTTAAGTAAGTGATAACCACATTACAACCCACAGACCCAGAGAGACTCCGTAACAAGGGTTCTGGAGGGGACACATGGATCTCCCTGGGAAGGGGAAATAAAATAGATTTTGCTAGTAGGAATAGGAGGGATCCAGTTGTGGGGGAGCATGGAGCGAGAGTACAGGAAGAAATTACTGGAATTAGAGGGCTTTGTGTGGGGGTGTGATGTGGAAACCTAGTGCAGTAGAAACTCCCAGGATTCTGTGAGGTGACCCTAGCAAGGACTCCTAGTAATGGAGGATACTGAGACTGAACTGGCCACCTTCTTTAACCTTGCAACTCCCCATGGTGGGACTGGGACACCAACCCAGCCACAAAACCTTCAACCTACAATCCTGTCCTGCCTGCAAGATTTCCCGGGGGTGGGGAGGGGATGGAGGCACAGAACTTGTGGGAATAGCCAACCAATGACTGGTCTAATCCGAGGCCCCCGCCAGAAAGGGAGCCCATGCCTGACAGTGCCTGGATGATCAGGAACCCAAGACTGAATAGCCCAGAGACCTAGGACAGGAAAAAGAAAGTCAATGAAAGGATACATAGCGATATTCTGCTATACTCATAGATTGGTGCCAAGTGCAACTGTCATCAGAGAGGCTTCCTCCCACAGTTGATGGGAGCAGGGACCCACAGCCAAACCTTAGGCAGAGCTCTGGGGACCCCATGAAAGAGGAGGAGAAAGGACTGTAGGAGCCAGAAGGGTCAAGGACACCAGGTAAACA